CCACCGCCTTCCTCCCCCACGCATTCACCCTCTGACGAGAAGAGTACAGAATACCACTGGAGAGGCTTGCCAACACCAGGGAGCCAGAGGACAGCAAAAGTAGGGCAGGCCGGCGTCCCCAGACCGTGCGAACCCCATGAGTCTCTCTCAAATCTCTCCTCTCTCTCTTCCCTCTCCCTCACACTCCATCGATGAGCGTGATGGCCCATGACAGACTGGCATCCTCTGAGAGCCCTTCTGGCAATTACACACCACACCACACCACACACAACGACCCACACACACACGACCAACAGCACACACACACATTCTCGATCAGAGACCTCCCGACATTCACTTAACCAGTTGTCTCTACTAAAAGGCCCGAGCGAAACACTCTACTGCCCCGTACCTCATCAACCTCGATCAGCACAGCACACACACATGAACAGTCACCCACCTTAGAGCTGGTTGAGACCATCTTTATCCCCCGCTCTCTCCTCTGTTTCTATTGAGTGCATGTGGGCCCCCTTCAGTCGGCAATGCCGCAGAGAGACGTTTGACGGTCCTGAAGCACTTACCCAGACCTACTGTAGGAGCTATGAACACGAGTTGTCGTGGTGTGTATTTTGTAGTGTGTTTTTTTTTATAAACGCAAATAAGCGACCGACATCAAGCTGCTCGTGGTGATATCGCTTGTTTCTGGTGAAATGGCAAATTCCTGCTGTTACGTCTTCCCACTGAATATCATGTGTGTGCAAAACTGCGCTAATGTGTAATGACAATAAGACAGGCGTCACCTGGGTTTCAGAGTCCAACTATAAAACTCCCCCTCAGGCTCAATTTACTCAGTAGCAGGATTGGTTTCCATACAGGTACCAAAACAGCTGAGGCTCTTCTCTATGGAAGCCGTCCAGTAAGATCATTATACGCATGGAGAAACTTTCTCCAAATATGAAACTTAAGTATGCGTCTAATTTAAGACATTTGTGAATACAAGGGCCTTTTCTAACGCGTTTAGTAAAACCTGACTCAGTGACCATACTTTATGGAAGGTTTACTGTTATATTAAAAACTACACAAGAACCCAAACAGTGAACTCACTAAAACGGCAGACGTTGTGTAAGAACGAGAGATTTGGATGAATTATGAGCAGATTGATCTCCTGTCTTTTTATAGCAATTCTCTGTCTGTATTAGGTAGTGTTTTTTCATTTTACTCAGTTAAATTGTAACTAAAGAAAAGTTGTTAAACTGACTGTGGCGGGGGAATGAACATGAAGTAACTTAATTTAGGCTATAAATAACTTAATTAAGTTAATTGAAGTAAATTAAAAAGCATCCCTAGGATCAAAGTCATTTTAAGTGACCGCCTGACTGAGACGGTGTGTAATTTTGATTGTTATTGAGTTTGTGCATTAAAACTGTTACGATGTGATTCCGTTTTCTAACAAATTTTTGAGTTAAAATCGCAATTACAGTGCATAGTGGGAAATATAAACAAAGAAGCAGCATAAGATTAAATAGAAGGATGGTTGTGTTTTCGTTTCAGTCGCTGTGTTCACAAGGGAAGCTGGAAGAAACCTCGTCCGGGCCACGCCTCAGCCCTTGCAGACCTGTGAGGAGATGCTGCAACACTGCAAATCCGCTAGACGTCAGCGCGCCTCCCCAGTGAGCTGCACGATCGAGACCATGTGTGTTGTGCTTTACTGCTGGGGCCGGTGGGATGAACAGGGAGGGGAAGTCTTCCCGCTGCTGTGATATTGATTCCTATATTGTGTTGAGTGTGTGTGTGTTGTGTTGTGTGTGTCGTGTGTCACACCATGGCATTTTCTGATAATATGGTGACCAGGGGAATTATTAGGTCTAATCCGTTCTACTCGACGGTTTGAGATAGTTTTGCGCTTCAAAAGTTGCACATCGTAACGAGTGAAACTGATGTTGCAGTAAAGTGCTGTATTATTAATCCATAATAAAGGAACCCCTGAAGTCTGCTAAATTATTATTATATAGAGTATAGGTATAGAATATATAGGTATATTTATATCAGCATCCTGTAATCATTAAAACATGGTTTTTTTAGAAAGCGAGGTGGTATGTAGATTGAACCTTTAAACACTCATGTTTGCTTGGCATTAATAAATTATATCCATTAAATTCCTATTTTTCCTTGGAGAAAAAGTCAGTTTATACTCATTCTTTGTTATAAAACACAGAATCTGTGTATTATGATTATTGATAGTGTGTAATGGTAGAGAAAATTTTGTTGCACACCACCAACAATTCAGTGCCCACGTTTTGAATTCAGAAAACTAATTGAATGAAAAATAACCATTGAAACAGTGTTTATTAACATTCAGTTCAAAGATGCAAGTGAGAAAGTGAAATTCCCTTCCTCAACAATTCTTCATATTACGTATTTTTGATGACTAATTTGATGTAACATTGTATTTATTTTGATTTTTAAACGTAGCATGAAGGGGATTTATTATCATTCTCAACCTTGCGCGTAAGTTGACAATAAAATAACGCTTTTTTATAGTATGTTTTAGAAATTATCTCTTGCGTGGAAATGACACACACACACTCGCCCACACACGCAGCAGTAGTCTGCAGGCGGTGTGTGGCTGAGCTGAGCCGAGGTGCTCTGAGTCGGGGAAAAAGTGTGTCACAGTGTGTGAGGTATGGCTTGTGGCGGGCAGGTGGGTAGGTGGGCATAAGGAGGGGGGGGTAATGCTTGACAGCACGCCACCGCAACAGCAAGCCAACTGTCTGAAACCTCCCCTTCCTCCCCCTCCTCCTCCTCCTCTTCCTCCCTTCATCCTCCTCCTCTCTCTGTGTCTTTGAATCCGGTCCTTGCGAGTTCAAAGCCTGCACACAATAGCCAGTCATTTAAACACACAGCCCCGTCCATGCACATCTTAGGAGGATTAAGTTTTTCTTTTTTCCTGCCTTGAATGGCTGTGAAAGAAGAACATGTCGCTGCTGTCGGGCGAAAACCTTGTTTCTTAAAAAACTGCTCTTCAGGAATTTATAAAAGCAGCTTTGCTTTGCCGTTTTCGTGGTGACGTCGTTTGGAGAAAGGGTGTCATGAGCCCTAAGAAGCTTCACTGTCCCATACATGCACATGTATAAAGGAGCGTTATAAAAACCTGAACATGTATTATGAAGTTTGGTCTGGTCTGTGGGCCCACACTATGAGCAAAAAAACAACATGTTGCCAGCTAGATAATAGCCCAGACTGTCCAGTGGGGCTGATGGTGGATAATGGTGGCCCATTTATGTAATGCCCCACTGCACTATGGCCATAGTGTCCCATTGTGATTAAGGCTGTAAGCTCCTTAGTGTCTCCGGCCTGCCATGATCTACAGCCACTGACAGATGTGCTCTCTCCATTCGCCCCTGTTAGCTCCTCTTTTCTAATCTCTGACCCCTTTCTCTCTCTCTCTCTCTCTATCTCTATCTAACTCACCCTCGCTCATTCTCTCGCTCTCTCTCCCTCCATCCTAAATACCACTGTTGATGTGACTTTCTCCCTCCTGCCCAGATCATGAACAGCAGGACTATCCAAGCTGGCCGAGCTTCGCGGTGATGCCTGAGTGACCCTCGGTGTCAATCCCGAAACATCAGCGACACGGTGCGGCTGTGTTCTGACTTTCTAAGTACACGCACTAAACATTCGACAAAGCCGCCGTGCCTGTAGTGCAGAACCGTGACGCAACTTCACCTTTCAGCTTGTGAGTGTTTGCCGAGGCTGAGGGGGCAACGCTGACTGTACAACACTGACTGTACGAACTCCGCGTTCACATACAGATTCATTAGTTACAGATGGAGAAGGTTGATAAACCTGTGAAATTTGAGCCTTTAATTCATTACAGTTTGTCTTTGTGACAAGTCCAGACTCTGCTGACACTGACTGGATGGGGACTTTAAGTCAGTGGTTTGCAAACTGGGGTCTGGGAACCAACAGGGGTCTTTTTAGAGCATTAATTCCCAGAGACTGGGTCACGACCCAGGAGATTTAATTTGGGTCACAAAAATGTACATTATTTTTCTGATGTTTGAAATGTGAGATCCTTAACTCCTGCTAAAGGCACTTAAGTTGTTTTGTTTATAAAGTGAGTTCTGTAAGAAGGAGATCCAAACTATCGCTACTATGAGGGAAAAAACATAAGCCTGTTAAACTAAATGCTTTCATGTCTCATTTATAAAGTACTTAAAATGTGTTTTACTGATGATAAAGTTGTGATTTATCAAACATATATCTCTTCTAAATGGCTTCTTTACATGTTTAAGAAAATATGACGTGATAAAAGCATTAAAAATGGTCCCTGAGCATCTGTATGAGACTCAACAATCACCCATCTTTCTCCACTCTGATTGGTTGTTTTCATTCGGGCCCCAGTGGATTATTGCTAAAACTATTAGGAGTACTAGAACAACCTGAGGATTCCTTTTTATGGATATAATTTATTTCATTGTCCTTTATTTGCTATTTGTGTGACGTGCACTTTGTATAGCAATTTGGTTGTTTTAAACGTGCTATTTAAATAAACTTGATTTGAGGGATGAAGAGTGTCCAAGTTATTACAAGAACACATTTTGTGCTGCAGCAATACATATTTTCTTTCCTTTATGCAGAAGTAAACATCTGCTACTCTGTATCTACTCTCTAAATGCAGGAGTTAAGAAATGCAGCAGTGCAACCATGCATGGCTGAACAGACATGGAAAACAGCTCCACCTACAGAAACTCATCCATATAAATTTCATCACAGCAACAAGTAATTCTGGGAAATGTAGAGCAAAAACATCACAGCAAGAGCACAAATAGCGTAAAAAATGATTCTTTAGATCATTATTGTAACTGCATGTGTTTGTGTGTGTGGTGTGTGTGTGTGTGTGTGTGTACTTCTTTATACCAGTGTATGTGGATGGTTTGTGTGTATTCACCCAGTGCAGTTGACCAATGCAGACTTTAGCAGCCAATAGGGGCAATGAGGGGTCTTCTGGTCTCATCCTGGCACACTCTTTAAATACAGACACGGCACCAACTCCCTGCAACACACACAGAAACACACACACACACACAGATACACACATGTCACTGACAAATTGTGATTCATGAGCAGCCAGTTATCGTGCAGCCACAGATGACAAGGATCGCCTTTAAACGAGTGTATCAAACACACATCAACTGTCCTTACACAGCTCTAATAGACCCATTTAGACACACAGTCACCTAATACATGTAGGCCAATCATTAATGGACCACGTGCACGCTCACACGCACGCACACACACACACTCACACACACACACACACGGCTGGCCCTAAATAGAAGCGGATCTGACGACACTGAGGCGGCCCCCTTCTCCTTCTAGGGAGCAGCCTATTTCTAGAGCTCTCCATTGATCTGCAGTGTCACTTCATCCTGCAACCCAGATCAATTTTTCTGTCACACACATGGCCACACACACACACACACACACACACACACACACACACTGGGGCACAGAGAGAGACAGACGGAGAGGGAGAGAGAGGATTTTAAGCTATTCCAGCTCCTTCCCATTTGAAGAATGTCCAGTGTTTTTACGCATTACAACAATAATTAACTGTGTTTAGCAGGAAAATAGTATTTTCCAGTAACTAATGTCGTAGCAGGTGGGGGTGGGGTTGCCTTGAAAGATCTGCTTTAGACTTATAAGGTATTTGAATGCTCTTTTAGTCTAATATTTGTGCAATTAATTTACTTGGCAATATCTGACTTGTCCAGATTGAGTAAAAACACCGCCCAACTGCTCCTCCAGACTCCAGACTGGACACTGAGCGCTGCATCTGTTTCACGCCTGAACACAAGCGTGAGTCAGGAACGCCGCAGTGTACAGGACGGAGGTATGGCAGAAGACAGATGTCTCCTTTGGGTGTGGCGTGGTGTGTGTGTGTGTGTGTGTGTGTGTGTGTGTGTGTCAGGGGCTGTTGCTGGTATATAAGGAGAAATGAGCTCACCTTCCCGGCCGCCATGAGTGACAGGCCCAGCTGGTGCCAGAGGTGGAACTCGTTGAATGAGAACTTCATGGCTCGCTCCAGACACTGCGAGGAGACATTATTTTTACAGTTTATATAAGTGGGATGTGCAGGTACAGGTAGAGGCAGGGGGCTGGTACACCCACAGATGTGTAATGAAAACCATTAGAAGACCAAGTCAGGGAAGGAAGGTTTAAGAACTTTACATTTATTCACTCATTTCCTTCTCGTTTATAGTCACTAAACTGAATGGCCACTCTTGTTGGCTGCATTTTTCTAGCTTGAAATGACTGTCAGTCACCACTCACCACCCACTCAGCGCTGTTTCAGAACATAATAATGTGATTGATGTGTGTGTGGACGAGCAGAGGGTGGCGTGGATTGCCGCTCAGTCAGATGTTGTCACTCACGCAGAAGTGAGCTAAACCAAGACAAAGCTCTGCCTCATATTCTGATGATATAATGTGCACGTACTAGAAAGGCCGCTGACCATTACACATGCAGACAAAGAAGTCCTGCAGCGAGGAGCTCAACACATCCACCAATGTCGAATCTGATGAACCGAGAGAGTGTGGACTAATTGTATTTCTGAATGAGTTTTAATTAAAAATACAGTTATACTAGTTTCCTATTATGAAACTGCTACTGTCGCTGCTGCTGCTGCTGCTGCTGCTGCTGCGTATTCGTAATGGTTCTGACCCTTGTTAACCCGGCTAAATCAGGGCCCCACACATACCAAATCCCAATTTAACCTCTGCACATGGGGTTAATGTGCAGAGTTACAACTGAGGTTCAGACCAATTGGGAGGCAGGAAAATGGCCAATACTTTATACTTCTACTCCACTACATCTCACAGGGAGAAACATTTACTTTTTTAGGAACTCTCTAGTGCACATTGCTTTTACAACACTAGTTGACACAAGTTGTTGACTCGCTAGTTTTTGATCATAAGTAATGTAATCATAAGTAATGTAACACGTGTACAGCTGTACGTATTTACAACAACAATGCATAAATGAATTGCACTCTGAAACTGGGGGCGCCAAATCGCACTAAACACCAATTCTTATATAATATTGCTTTAAAATAGGGGTCTCAAACTTGTTTGGGGGTCACTACTGGTATAATCAAGCGCAATATTCTAAAAATTCCCATTACTAACATCATACTTGTATATGAAGGGGTAGTTTAAATTGATTTGACAGCCAGCGGCTCTTTGAGGCCGTACTTTGTCACAGCAGTGATTTGAGCTAAATGCTAACATGCTGATAATTAGCAGTTAAGAGTACGAGTTTGTCATGCTAATAGCTAATTAGTGCTAAACACAAAGTAAAGCTGAGGTTGATGGGAATGTTTGCAATGTTTTGACCTGATGATGGTGTTAGATGGTAGAAGTCTGTACAATTCAGTCGGTGGGAAACATGAATGTCTGAACCAAATTTAATGGCAATTAATTCAATAATTGTCAATAATTTCACTCAACAGCAAAGTCAAGAGATCACCAAAGTCTTGAGGGAGTTTCTTTACCAAATTTCATTGCAATACATCCGTCTCAGATACAACAGTCTGGACCAAAGTGGACCGACTGACTGACAACCAGCTAAAATTGTCTCGACCAGCTACTTACACATTAATGCACCAGTAATATTAATACAATAATTTAACATATATAATAATACATGACTCTGAAAGTAGAATTCTCTTGAATACATTTAGGCTGCAGGACTTCTTCATACTTTGGTATTACTGCTTTCACTTAACTACAGGATCTGAATACTCTCCTCGTTGCTATTAGCTTTATTTTATCCTGCAAACATTTTAAATAACAGTTTTTTTCTCATACATAAAGCAAACGATTTAAAATCATAATAATACTAATACACACTTGTAAATCAATCAACTGAAATTTGATGAGTATCAGAACTTGCCGCAAACATTGCTTGGATTGATTAATGTTTCAGCAAGTCTGCAATCAATCAATGTGAATCTTATTCATCACACCAGAGATGTATGGCACTGACTGGCTGACATCTAATTTTTAATAAATGGTCCATACTGGTCTCATATATCAGCAAACTGATCCAACTGTGCAGGTGGACCTACATCAGTGTGTACGACTGTGTGTGTGTGTGGTCCTCCTTTAGAAGATGACTGATGCTATCTATGAATCAGCCAGACAGGTGGACAAACCTAATTTGAGACGACCCCCTCTAACCTCCACCTCCCCAACTTCCCACATCTGGGTAGAGGTCACATTAAAGAGGGAAGGGTGACGGAGCTTGTAAAAAAAAAAAAAGTGAGAAACCGGAGGAGGTTTTTTTGAGCAACATACTGAACAAAAATAAAAGGGAGGAAGAGGCAGGCA